AAAAGATGTAACTAAGATATATATATAAAACCTACAGAGACTAACAGCACAGCAAAGAGATATCAGAGAGAGGTGAAAGGATTAAGGTACTTGTCAAAGTCCTGGGTTAGCAGATCCAAGTTTCAGAGCAAAAGGGCACGGGTCTCCCCAGGTGGTATTGATGTTAAAATGGGAGACGTCTTCAACTCTGACTCTTAGGCCTGACAGCCTATTTTGTAGTCCACAGCAGGGGGTGTCTCTGAAGTCAAGGACCAATACCCCGCTTAGGGCGTGGAGGTATGGGTGGATACCTCAACTAGAGCCAAAATCTCCCCTAAACTCATTATTGGCCCATAACTTTCCAGCTTCACAAGTGGCATTCCCCCCGTGGGTAGATTATTATGCAGACACGTCTAAGGATTGATTAGATATGAATTATGAAATTATACACTGTACGTTTCACGAGATCTACTTTTCTGTTTTCCTTTGTATCCGAGACAATGCGAGTGACCTATCCAACTGTTCGCCTTCTCGTGGCCAATCTGACAATAGGTCCGGTTTTTATGTAAGTCTCTCATATTCCAAGATATGAGACATAGGGGAGAAATGGATTTTGAAAAGTGTTTATCTGATTCTGTCACCTACGCTGAGTTAGGTTTATTAGGTTGGGATCTCTTTCAACTCCTGGGAAAGCTTGCCTTATCTCTTACAAGGTGTTACAATTTGCAGGTTCTTTGGACAGGGAGGCCCTGGCTCCCTTGGGGGGCTTTATAGCTTTATGGCCAAATGTCACTGGGCCTCTCTAAGGAGGGAGGGGGGAAGAATGAGAGAGAAATATATTTGTCAGCATGGTTAATCCTTTTGCCAAGATGGAGGTTGAAGCCAAAATGGTTGAACCGCGTCCATCTCTGGGTATACGCTGTTACAAGCCATGGTATAGAAAAAGTGCAGACATCATTACTTTATTTCATCTCTGTGCCTGAAGTGAAGGCCTTATTAGAGTGTCTTCACTCTCAGCAGTGGTAAACACTGACCTACAGATGGGTTTATAGATAAATACCTTCTTTTCAATGCAGATCGTATCAAATCTTTCCATCACCAAAATCCTGGCCCATCACTCCCCATTACTTTTCTTTTTTAGGCTTTCTTTCATTTTCACCTGGTGATAGTAAGGCTGTTTTTAAAAAGAACAAGTTGGCCTGCAAATGTATCAGTTAGAGGGTTGAAACAAACCATATAAGACTGGCATGGGTGCTCTGACAGTGATCAGATTTTGCTTATTAATGTAAAACCTCTATATTCTGTAAATTTAATATATTCTAGCTATATTTAAAGAATATGTTTCCCCAATATTTCATATTCCTGGTATGTGCCTGCTGTACCATGTATTTGTATGAAAAAGTATCCTGTTCTCTTTGTATTGCTTCTTTTGTGTGAAATCCCTAGTGTCCCTGCCAGTCCCTTTGCTTTCCAGTTAAAAACTGACTACACCCCCCCTTTCCCAAACAGTCATTCAATGGGAAGACCAATATTCTGCTGTTGCTCCTTACCCACCTCTCTATGCAGCTGAGAACAGAGGGTACATGATCACTTGTTTTCCAGCCAGAAAACGCCCCTTCTGATTAAAGCCTATGTGTGCATGGGCACATAGGATAACATGCTGGGGAGTTTACTGGCTTCAATATGTTAGTGTATCTAAATCTGCCAGTACATCTACCAGTCCTCAACCTCCAGATAGACAATGCTGCTGTCCAAATGTACCCCTGTGCTCATTCATCCAGAGTGGAAGCATTCTAATACAGAAGGTATGTTACTGGCCAGATCACCAGGTGAAACAGAGGAAAAAAAAGCCTAAAAAAAACCCAAATGCAGCCACCACATTTTACTGGTGCGTTTTACAGTACATTTTGCTTTTTTTACGTGTTTTAATGCCTTTGTGTTTTTTCGCCAATAGTATTGACTTTGATGTGACTTGGATGCAGGGGCGGACTGACCATTTGGAAACTCGAGCACTGCTCGAGGGCCTGGGGTCAGTAGAGGGCCCCATGTGATGCCCCTGGTACCTTTTTCATAGGCTTTTTTGAGTTTGGGCAAGGACACAGGGGCCCCATGATCCCCTATTGCCCGAGGGCCCCATGAGTTGTTAGTCCACCCCTGCTTGGATGTGATTTTGGATGGGTGCGACTTTGATGCTGCTTTGCATTAGAGTGCCAGAGAGTGTAAAGTCACACTACATGAACAGAACTGCCATACTTTCTTCATAGCAAAAAATGTTGCATTAAAGTTGCACCCATCCAAAGTCTCAATAAAGTGGCATCAAAGTCAATACTTTCCTATTGGCAAAAAAAAAAAGAAAGAAGCAAAACACATAAAGATGCACTATATGCGTTTCTGCTGCATGCCCATCAAAGTCTATTGAACCAAAAATGCACCGTGTTGCATTTAAAAAAGGCCCCTACCCTTTCCAAAAGCACAGCAGCTGAAAAAACGCCTAGAGGTGAATGTGTCCCATAGGAAACCATGTAAAAAGGACTGTAGTGCATTTCTGCAAAATATAAACTGCACTAAAAAGTGCATAGATGTGAACCAGGCCTTAATGGAAGCCCCACCAGTAGCATGTGCCTTCTTTTCAGGAGATAAATGGTAAGTATAAACAGCTGGTGGGGCCTCAATGAAAAAGATAGCCCGTCAGCTGCTTATAAAACTTTTATCCAAATTTCATGCAATCTTCTCCTAAGACTGGCCATACATTATACAATTTTCCTGAGATTTTTGCTTTAGATTTACCAAAACCCATATAATATGAGGTCAAACCTAAACAACACTTTCAATTGTATTTAATTAGACAGGCCCTTGCACTACATCTCTATCTATCCAATCAGTTGTATCTGACTCTTGGTGATTGCATGGATTGTCACTTGTAAGTGACTTTTTCCATGAATTCTCTTAGCAATTATTTTTACAGGGTAATTTGCCAGGTCTTTCCCCAACCCCTACCATACAGGAGATCCTGCATGGCCAGGGATGAAACAAGGACAATTTAGACAGGAGCCAATTAACCTACCAGCATGTCTTTGGAGTTTGGGAGGAAACCAGGAGGAAACCCACACAAGCACAGGAAGAACATGCAAACTCCATGCAGGAGGTGCCATGGTCAGGAATTGAACCCATAACCCATTTACTGCAAGGTAGATGTGCTAACCACTAAGCCACTGTGCCATCCTTGCACTACATAGTGGAAGGTATATCTAAAGGAAATTGGGCAGAAATATGTAAGAAAATTATATAGTGTATGGCCAGCCTAAGATTCAATTAGAAAAATGTGTGAATCTTGGATGAAAGTTATGTGAATATTGCATGAAAACAATGATAAATAGACCCCCAAACATTGTAGTATATCAACATGGTTTGATCTAACGTGAGAGTGTAATAATATGACAGCAGATTTAAAGAGCAAGCATAGGCACACAGCAAATAAATGCTGACTAGTTTGGGTTCTCTGACAAGGATCACATCAGGATATCAGAACATTTTGCTACATTTCAGAATACAGTTCAAGTATCCTACTTTCATATAAATAGATACTGCAGAGCAAGCTTGTGAGAACTTGTGCAAATTTCATAGGCATTGGAAATGCTTATTGTCGTCACCTGTGTGTTATCTAACTGCACACAATTCAAATGATAAGTGCGTAATTCACACAATCAACAGAAATGGCTCTCATCAGTGAGCTTCCAATCAAAGTTCTCTTCCTTCCTGTGCTCCCTGATTATACACCGCTGATTGCAGCAATGAGAGGACAGGTGTATTTCCCATGTTCATTGCATTCATATCTGCTCTTCTCATTTATCTCAGCTCACTGCTGTCTGTGGTTGTCCTTCGACACAGAGAAATGTGATCATTACACACTTGATTTTTGGGTCGTAAACTGGATGAGCTTACCAGGAGTAAATTGTCTGAATGCACTCTAATTATGGAGGAAGTTTGGTTAAATGAATGGTGGTGATTATTAGGCATTATTTAAGTGCCTGGCACATAAGCAAAGTTGTCCAGCTGGCACCATTAAAGTGTTACTAAACCCAGGACCCTGCATTCACTATATCTGGTCTCCCACAGTACACAGAACATGGAAATGCAATTATTGTAGTAAATATAAACTGCTAAATACCTTTTCTCATCAGCAGTTAGAGCAGTCTTGTGACTTCAGCAGAGCACTGGTTAAAGCTTGTAGGAGGAGTTTTCTTTCTGCTCTAGGAGGATGTGAAACCCCTGACCCTCTGTCTGGACAGTGCTGATTGGCCCTGTGCTGATCACATGCACTCTCCCAAGAAGAAGAAAAAAATAAAACCTCTCTAGCAATACACACCAAACTGAGCATGTGCATGTGACCACGGGTTCAGTTTGTATCAGATGGTCATTTCAACAACAGGAGGGGCAGAGAAGAAAGGCTCAAGCAGCCTTATTACACAATGCAGGGGATTAACTCCTTAGGTTCCACAATGAGTATAACAAGCCTGCTTTATTGCATATACAGAGGTCATCACAGAGGACAAGGGGGCACTCTTTACATCTGGAGGAAAAGAAATTTAATCTCCAAACACAGAAAGGTTTCTTCACAGTGAGAGCTGTGAAAATGTAGAATAGACTTCCTCAAGAGTTGGTTCTGGCCAGCTCAGTGGATTGCTTTAACAAAGTCCTGGATTGTTTCTTAGATACACAGAATATAACTGGATACTAACATTTATAGGTAAAGTTGATCCAGGGAATATCCGATTGCCTTTCCGGGGATCAAGAAGGAATTTTTTTTCCCAGCAGGAGCAAATTGGATCATGCTTTGCTGGGTTTTTTGCCTTCCTCTGGATCAACTGTGGGTGTAGGATTATAACTTTTTTCTTTTTTTTAACCTCCCTGGCGATATTCCCGAGTGTAGCTCGGGGTAAAGTTTCAGTACCAAAAGCGGTAACCCCGAGCTACACTCAGGTTTACCATGCGGCGTTGCTCCGGTATCTCTTGTCCTTCGCTCCCGTGATGCGTCCCCGGCCATCTCCTCCGGCCGATGCCGGCATCCGGGTTCTGTGTTCTGGTCCCTGCGAGCGTCAGCACGTACAGGGCCGGAACAGTGGCAAATTTAAACATTTTTGGAAACTGTCATTTTCTTAGAAATGAATTTGACATAGTAAAACATTACTGTATCAAACCATTTCACATACATTTTGTCCCTAGTGCTTTGTCCTGTGCCCTGCCTGCATTTTTACTGTTCTTTCTGCCTGGAAACCGAGAAATGTCCATGGCGTCCAAAAAGCGTCCCTTTAGGTCAAAAGCGGTTTTAGACCAGCTAGAGAACAGCGATAGTAAATCAGAACCACTTGCAGAATAGAGTGATAATGATTTGTGGGGAAATTCGTCATCAGACACAGAAAACAATTCTGTGACTTTGCTCAGCGATGTGCAAACTTGGCGCTATATTTCAAATTTCAGTGTTTTTGGTTTGATTATATTATTAAATTAAATTTATTATTATATTATTTTTATGATTATTTATTAAATTATAATTTATGATTTTGTGTTTCAAGTTTTATCCTACCCAGGATGTTTAATAGACTCTTGTTCGGACAGATTTCAGTGAGTTATTCCTAAAAATTACAGGCCTACAATAAAAAAATACATATTTCCATGCAAAAAAATGTACCGCTTTGAGCACAGAAATATGGACATAATCATACCGCTAGGGAGGTTAATGTTTGAACTGGATGGACTTTTGTCTTTTTTCAGCCAGACTAACTATTTAACTATGTAACTGATTTTACTGTTGTGGGTTTAGTAACACTTTAAGATTCCAACCTGCATTGTAATCTGACATTAGAAAAGAAAATGTTAAATTTGTTTGTTGTAGATCTTACCTACTGCTCGACATTTCATGAAGGTCTTTGCTGCAGGATGTGTGCCTACTATTCTCTATATCTTGCCTCCTTCTTTAGCTTTGAGTTATTAATATTACTATATAGCCCCATCATCTCCCATGGCACTGTGCAAATTATTAGATGGGTATAACAGAAAGCATAGTACAGGTAATCTTAGAAAAAAAATGCTTAGTAGAGGTAATACAGTATCTAAAATGATCCAAAGACTGAAGCCTGGAACACAGGGGCTGAACGAAATAAAACTGGGGAGATCACGAGGAGGTCTCTGGACTGACCATGTGATGTTAGTACAGCCATCTCCTCACTGAGGTATTGTGTTCTGACAGCAGGATCGCCAATGTCCTCGCCAGAACACACCAGTCAGCGCTTGTAGCCATTGGCTGAGAGAGCTGATCGAATGCCAATCAACTGCTGGTTTTACAGAAGGCTCATTTGACAGAAGCCAGCTGTGAGATCAGCTTCTGTCAAACACGGACCTGTACACACGGCTGAATGTCAGCTGGCGTCTACTGTACTGGCTGATTTCGGCTGATATTCGGCCAGAGTATATGGGGCTTTAGGAAGCCCATAGATGAGTCAGTCTTTGTTTTCATTGAACCAGTGGGCTGAACAAAAAACTGACCTGATTCCCCCATCCACACATTCAAGGTGGATGGGGGAATCGTCCCCACTGTATCTTTGTATTCTCAAAGCAAGAAGACTTCCTTGCTGTCAGAATACACTGACCAGCACTGTAGGCTGTAGCTGTGCTTCATATTGCAAAACAAATTCGTAAACCGAGGCATTATTTTCAATGGATTTTTAGTCGTAAACCGAAAATTACATTAATCAAGGCTTTTCAAAAACCGAGGCATGCCTGCAATTTCTTTAAGTGAGAAAAATTGTGATCATAACAGGTGTCCCCGCTGGAAGATTTAACCTCAACTCTTGTTCCGGTGACAAATCTAAAAGTTTGGATTTCCCCTCACCAGCACAAATAAAGGAGGGCGTCTCCCCAGTGAAGACACAGACAACAATGAAACCTGAAAGAGGGTCTAAGGCTGTTTCATTCTAGCTAAATTTTTTTAAAAAAGTGCCTTTACAAACTAGTTTGAACTCTCACCACTTCTGTTGCTCTTGGTGGTTATCTGCAGAATCTGACACTTCTGGTAGTGTCGGGTTCCTGGTTCCCCAATATATTCAGAGGTTCCCTCTGCCAGTCTTTGACATATAAGGATGTAGGGGCTGGAAAGGGTTACCACAGTGTGCAGCGGGGGGGGGGGGGGGACCAGAGGGGGTTGGATTTTGGATTTACTAATACTACCAGAAGGGTTGGACACTACTACTTTTTTCGCAGGTGGTATTGCTTAGCTATGGTGAATATTGGTGGTGCTGGAAAAGGGAGTACTAAATGTCTCACTTGCAGTGATCCCTTTATTTGACATGTTTATTTTAGTGACAGTCACTCCAAGCTGTGTATGATGTGACAGTGTGTACCTTGTCAGGCAGGGAAGCAATAATGGATCCACTGAACCAAGGCTCACATTGTCACTTCATATACATCTTCAAGGAACATCGACTGAAGATACTAACTGACTGTATGCTTGTCTAAAGAGGTTGGCTTTCAAGGTGTCAAGGTTTGGAGAGTGCCAAAGTACATGCAGAGGAATTCCAGAGATGAGGAGATGTTTGGGGGAAGTCCTAGATGCAGAATCTGAGTTGCTTTGATCTAGGTATCTGGATGCAACAGATGGAGAAGCCAGACTGCAGAGAGTATTGTTATTTAGGAGTTTAAATTGAATTATCTGAGTAATTCTCTGATTCCCATGTTTACATATTCAAGTCTTCCTCAACATCTTCTTTGTATCTTTTCCCTGTCCTAAACATACCTCCCTTCTGCTCTCTCTACATGTCTATCTCAAGGGTGTATAGCAGGGTGCAGAGTTTATCCATGATTTTTTGGGCTGACATGTGGTCATACTCCTTTAACACCAGATGGATTATATACATGTAGAAGCTATTAGAATTCAAGCACAGGTATATCTTTCACACAGGTGTTGGATAATGCAGCAGCCCTAATGGGCATTAACGCACCCATAGCATTAATGAGCGTTTTGGTTGGTTTGCACAGCCCTTCATGTAGTGTCAGCAACTGGATTACCAGGTGAAAATGTATGAAAAAAAAAAAAAAAACTAATGCACCCACCACATATAAGGACTGGTAAGCTGCAATATATTACATTTCTATTTGTGGGTTTAATTCTGCTTTAAGTGCTTAGGCTGTGATCATCAGTCTACTGCAGGCAAAAAAGGAAGCATTTGCTCAGTCACTTCTCCCCTAGTAATCATACTGCAGCATTTGTAGCTCTGTAGAAAGTCTGCTGAAGCAGGGGCTGATCTGTGTCAGACATTTGGAATCACAGTCAAAAACTGCACAGACACAAGGGATTACATTAACCACTTGCCAAAGGGCGGCATGTACCTGTACATCATTGTGCCTCCGTGGACTTAAGAGGGAGCAGCACAGCGCCCCCCTTCCTTACTACTGTGTCTACCGGACACAGCAGATTGCAGCTCACAGTACACTTTGAGTGGCCCAGGGATCATGTGATCGCTATGCAATGAATGACTCTCATTCATAACAGTGCTACTTGCTATAATAGTGAGCTATAATTGGCGCACAGCTATCACATGGTACCTGGGCCAATCACAGCACCCCCTCTACCACGGGATTAGCTGTAGCCAATTGCAGATCACTAATAATCACAGCTGTCATGAATGAAACTCATTTATGATAGTTCAAATCATTGCTAGTACAATGATCTTCATTGTAACAGCAATCAAGGTGTAGGAAAACAAAATCTCTGATCACTCCCCCCAGAGTAGTACAGTTGTTCTATGGTGACACTGAACTACTCTGATGAAAGTATGTAAAAAAAAAAATTGTGACAAAAAAATGTATTCAATTTCTTTATTATCCAAAAACATTGTGACAAAAAATTACAACTTTAATGCCTCGTACTACTTACCTCAGACTGTCTACTTTCCAAAAAGGAGTCATTTGGGGGGCATTTTCACTGTCCTGGCAAATTAGGGCCTCAAGAAATGTGAAAGGCTGTCAGTACATCAGATCAATTAATTTTAAAATATGTACAGTATATATACCATAGTTTGTAGAAGCTGTAACTTTCACACAAATCAATTAAAGTACCGGTATACATTTATTGGGATTTTCTTTTTTACCAAAGACATTTGGCAGAATACATTTTGGCCTAAAAGTATGAAGAAATATGAAGAAATTAGCTTTTTTGATTTTTTTTTTGTTGGATATGTTTTATAATTGAAAATATTGGGGTGGGGTGGGGGGTTAGAAATGTTCAGTCTTTTTTTTGTTTATATAATAAAAAATAAAAAAAACCTAGTGGTGATCAAATACCACAAAAAAAAACGCACTTTTTGTGAAAAAAATGCTATAAATTTAATTTTGCATGCACTTTTGCATGATCGTGCAATTGCCAGTTAAAGTAGCCCCATGCTGAATAACAAAAAATGCCTTGGTCATGCAGCAGGGAGTAAAATCTTCTGGAGCTTAAGTGGTTAAAGTGTCATCTTTGAGCAAGCAGCTTATTTCAGGAATTTGATGATGGATAATGGCTCAACAAAGATGGCTAAGGGAAGATAAAGGGAGTACTGTGTAATAATTATCTTCACACGTCTTTTAGCATGCATGCACAAAACATATCAAATAATATCTGATGCTAGCTCCACTACAGGGAGGTTCTGTCACTGTTACATTCAGCATCTGGATCATCAATCTGTTTGATAAAAGGTCTGACATTTGTAGAGCTCTCTTTAATAACGTCCCAATCCATGGTGTCGGTTGTAATTCTTTGTTCCTCCGTCTGGCAATAACTTTCTATCTAACCTTCTTCATTCCTCCTAAGGGAGCCAACTCCTCTGCCTGTCCACTGCGCCTCTGCACAGCATTCATTTATTTAATGACAGAGCTGATGGACAGAGAAGTATCAGAGTGACGAGAGATGTTGTAAAAATGCCTCTTCCTTCACGGATTATTCAAAAATGATGTCTATAATTCTGAGTTTGGACTGTGACAGGTCCTCTTTAATATTGCATGGTTCAATACAGATGAAATATATGAACAGACCAGATGACAGCTCAGTATACGACTATACCCTCCAGCTCTGTGTTTGCTCATGTTCTCATGGACTGCACTGTTTAAATGTTATATCAATGCCTTTAATCTTCGGGAGCCATTTGGTTTGACTGACAACTAGCAAACAAAAGATGAACATGCTTACTGACTCTATTGTGTTACACGGATATGCCTGCTTAAGTGTATGTTATGTTGTAAAGACAGGTAAATGTAGACATAGGTGGGTGTGTAATAGATACATACATTGGATTAAAGAAGTATTAAAACCAAAAGCAAACATTTATTACATTGCAGGTTACCAATT